ACTTTTCAGTAAAAATAATGTTGCCAGATTTAGATGCCAGTGAATTAGTCAGAAAAGAAAGTTTTACATATAAAGATATATTACATTGCCTTTTACATATAATCAAAATCAGATCATAATCGGAATACTATATTATATGGCTCTATGGAGGAAATGGTAAAAATAGTTTGTGTAGTAACAACATCTCTCCAAGCCTTGAACATTATTTCATCGTTGGCGTTCCGAAGATAACATTTCTTTGTTCATTATTTCAAATAATAATTGTAAAGTGCATCCAAACATATTTAAAATAGCTCTGGCTAAACTAGACTTGGGCCATTGCAACAGCCGCAAACTATCGTGAGGACTCGAACCCGTGTCCTTTCTGCTACATTTTTCCAATGAATGGATCGCTTAGACAACTCCTCTGCCAAGAACAGACTTTCAGATAAATTATAATCATATAAATAAATAAAAATGTCCGAATCTGTTTTTCCCTCCCTTATTTTCCAACTTTTTGAGATTGAGATTGAGTCCTGTAAATTTTATATCGATCAGATAATAAACCGAAAAAAAAGCAAGTAAGAGTGCTTCAGTCGGGTGAGCTCGACTAGGAGATACCCTGAACCCAAGGCCAAGCTGCCGTTACAAGCATTCTAGCTACCTTTTCGTCTTCCCTTTTTCCCTTCTTCTTGCCTTAGTACCACAATTTGGGAAACACGTTCTTAGTTAACTTCGGTGGTTATTGTTCGATCTTAATGAAACTTTCAGTAGCTTAATCTCGCAGACAGAAATTGTGTATATACCAAATGTGTGTATATACCTTGAAAAATTAGTATCTTACAATCTTGTGGAATAAAAGAGGTATTCAAAAAGTGAAATATTTTGAATTTGTGCTATACGAGAGCCCACAGACAAAGTTTGGTGTACGTAGCTCTTATATTTTTCGAGTTTTGCTTAAAAAAGCAGGCCTTCAAATCGATTTGTATCGACAAAATAACTGAGCAGAGCCGCAGTATATGCTGCTGAGCAGGGTAAAGGGTAACTCCTAGTCGAGCAATTGGCTGGTAAATCTATTGATTTTTGAAGCTGGCATAGCGCGTGCTGGCAGCTGGCTTATTAGCTAGCTATTTGCAAACAGCAGCAGAAAAAAAAAAAATGATTAAAAATTATTGACTGGCCGACTGTTTGGCTGTTTGGCCATTTGTCGGCCGCTTTGGCAGCGTTTCCGGCGTAGCCGGCAAGCCAAAAGAACCATAAAATCGAAAATGAGCTGAGCCAAGACACAAAGGCAAAACGCGCGCATTTAATGAGCCATTTCAATGCCAAGGCGCAGAGTGTGCAGCCAGTTGAAAATGTTTTCATACCCTGTTCACAAATTGCCGACGAGTATATTGGGATTGTGCATTTGTTGGTCTGGCTGTAGCTAGAGACTTTGTATATGTACAAGAGTATGATATAAAGTGTTTCCATTTCTGGGGCTTGCCATATATCTATATATCAAACGTATGAAATATCTTTATTTCCTATTAGATAGATAGATAGATGGATAGATAGACATATAGACAGACTGATAGATATATCGATAGATCGATAGATAAATAGATCGATAGATATAAAGATAGATTTATAGATATATAGATAAATTGATTGATGAATAGATCGATTGATAGACAGATAGACAGATAGATAGATTGATAGAAGGATAGATAGATAGATAGGTAAATAGATAGATAGATAGATAGATAGATAGATAGATAGATGGATATATATATAGATAGATTGATATATATATATATATATATATATATATATATTGATAGATGAATAGATCTATTGATAGATAGATAGATAGATAGACAGATAGATATATGGATGGATTGATAGATGAATAGATTGATTGAAAGATAGAGTGATAGATGAATAGATCGAATGATAGATAGATAGAAAGATAGATGGATAGGTAGATAGATAAAAAGATAGATAAATAGATTAATGGATACATAGTTGAATTTATAGATAGAAGGATAGATTGATTGATAGATAAATAGACAGATAGATAGTAGTAGGGGTAAAACCCATCTTCAACTATTTTCAGCTACCATAAACACCATGAACAGAGTATTATGCAGTCGCCCCTAATTATATTTTATTGTTGTTTGTTTTCTTCCTGTGCCTTTTTATTATTTTTCCAAAAAAATAATGGCAGACCAAAGATTTCAATTACATGTAAATAGGCATATGCATATATTATACATTAACTCATGTATTTTTTAATACAAATCAGGCGTAAGAGAGATCAAAGATTTGATTATATTAAAATAAATTTGTTTCATAAGCTATTTGTAATAATTAATAATATTTGCTGTTTAAATTTTTAACAGATTTTATTGCTTTGGATAAGTTTTATAATGTATATATCAAATATTTTCTGTGTAATGCGCTTAACTTTTCGATATTTGGAGAATTCCGAGAATTTGGAGAATTGCGATTAATTCCGATTTTTGTTTGTAATTTAATT